AAATAAAAAAAAAAAAAAACTTTTGAAATAATTGAAAAAGGAGCGACAAATGGCATAATTTAAGGAAACCCAATTGCATATTACATTTTTCTTCTTCTTTTCTTTTGTAAACAAAAAGAAATATATATAGTAAAACATGAGAGTTTGTGCATGAATTATGTACAATTCATATTGTTATATTATATTTGGTGTAATTTATTCAATATATTTTATAAAATCATTTTTTTGCCTTGGGGCAAACTATGTAACGTCTAGCCGTCATTTAATACAGTTTTGTAGAATTTACACATGATGAAATACATCATGTAGTTTTGCACTATTGATCTACATATAATGGCATACATCCATATGTTTGTATGTTCAGCGGATAGTTATTTTGGAAGATCGTTAATTTAAAACAAAAGTGTACTTCATCAAGTGTACGATCTCATGAGTAATTAATACTTTAGCTTAGGCATAAATTATGTATGACAAATTGATTTACTAAGCATTTTTAAATTTAAAGGGCAAATTACGGCCACCCCTAAGTTTTAGTCAAATTACGAAAACCTCTCTCATATTTGAATAATTACAGTCACTCTTCAATTATGTTTTATCTTACGAAAAAACTCATCCGGAGGTAAATTTAGGGATGTTAAATCGGTAAAACCGAACCGAAATTTCGGTACGCCAACATTTCATACAGTATACCGAACTGAATATACGATTTGGTTCGGTAAATAACCAAACTACATAAATGTTATGTAAAAATATTTAAAAGGAGGGGAATGACTGTAATTACCCAAATAAGAGGGTTTTTCGTAATTTGATCTTATCTCAGGGTGTGGCCGTAATTTGGCCAAATTTAAAACCGGTTGCTTTTCCTTGATTTGGTGGATTTATCTTGAACATGCATGCTTCTCGGGACTTGTGAGAGCGCACTAGGGTTTCTTAATTAGTGTCTGAATACACTTAACATTAATTTGAGAAATATACTAATATCACACTGTAGCAAATCATTTATTTTAAATAAAAAAAATATCGATTTTATTTATTTGCCACAGTTCTCTAAAAAATAAAAAACCGCTGACAAAGAGAATCCAATGATAAAAGCGGCTGGGGAATTTTAAAACGTTACTCAGTTAGTATTTACAAAGCAAATTATATATATATATATATATATATATATATATATATATATATATATACACAGACAAATAAATGAAGGCATATTTGAAAATTGAAACAGCCCACAATAGTAATTTACATGGGCTATTTACATAATTGTAAGCTGAATTATTTTTGGTTACATTTCAAGGCCCAATTCAAATAAGCCCAAAAATAATAATAATAATAATAATAATAATAATAATAATAATAATAATAATAATAATTATTATTATTATTATTATTATTATTATTATTATTATTATTGTTGTTGTTGTTGTTGTTGTTGTTGTTGTTGTTATTTGGGTCGGAGTACTTATGCCATGTGACGATTTAGCTAAGCTTATAAGATGTTTTAGAGCTTCTAAGCTCTTCCAAAGTGTTTGGTAAATTTAAAAAAAAAAATCTTTATTTTTTTTAAAATAAGAGAGCAAATAAGATCGTTTTAAAAAAAAAATTTATCCCACTTTTTTATTTAAGATCTTATAATGAGTAAAAATAGAAAATAAACTAATTATCCAAACACTCTACAAAATAATCCTAAAAATAAGATGTAACAGCTTATCAGTTCTTAAAATATCTTATCAAACATAGAAGCTTATCAGCTATTTAAAATAAGCTTAGCCAAACACCCTCTTAATTGATTGTAGAAATGGAAAGTCATTGCAGAAGGTTTTTTTTTTTGGGGTACTTTATTAATCATGAATTAATGGGCATTTGAGAAATGAGTTTGGATATTAAATTGTTAGCTAACCCTAGAGATTAGCATACTTTATTTTAATTTCTCTTAATAACACCTGCCACAATTTAATTGGCTTTGAAGGCAATATATATATAGTTTTCTACTACTAATTATATTAATTAAGATAAATATATAGCTCTCAAAAGTACGATTTGATTGGATTTGTATCGAAGAATTTCAATGAAAAATACAGTGAATACAGTCGGGACTAACAAAATTTTATTAATTTAGCGAAATATTAAATTATCTAACTAATTATTTAGTATGTCTACACCGAGGCAGGACCAGGAAAAATTATTATTTAAGCGAGATTATTAATTTATCGAGGTTCTACTGTATATTCACTAAAAATATCATTCGTTTATCGTATAATAACTTGCAAACCATACGAAAGATGTAAACCACACTAGGCTAACCATGTGAGACAAGCTCAACATAACAATCGTTGGTAAGGGGATCCGAATTTGGGTCAATTGACACAGACTCAGTTGCTCAAATCTGTTAGATCATCCTTGCAGGATGCTTGTGAAGTTGTGAATAAAATAATATAAAAAAATATATATTTTTTTTTAAAATAAAGAGTCCCTATTTAAACATCCAACGTGAACATGTATATGATTAAAATGTATTACAGCCAAAATAATTACATTGGGCAAAGTTTTTTAAATATGTATGATGTAATATAGAAAAATGAAACAAAACATTCAAACAAGAGATGACCCAAAATCGAAGAGAAAAAACAATGTACTTCAAAAATACGGTCCAAGTTAAAGGGCAAGTCAATTAATCGGAAATTAAATGTTACACCTAGTTATTTATTTGGGACGTGATAAATGTCGTTCGAGCTTTAATAATATCGTTATGACTTCAAATGTGAATTTGATCATTGTTAATTCCAAATTTTGCAAAACCCGAAAAAGAGAATTTATAGTATTCTGAGTTAGTTTTCCAATCCAACTTGAATCACCAAAATTGGATGTCGAACGAGAAAGATATACATGAATCAATGGATATTGCCCACAACTTTGATGTACTGAGGTATCTAAAATTCAAAATGCGACTCATTCATGCATAACTTTGTCACACGCCATCCAATCTAGCGGATTTAAGTTGGATTAGAAAGCTAACCCAAATAACTACAGTTTTCGTGTTTCGAATTTTGCCAAAATCAAAATAGAAATATGCCAAAATAAGGTTCGAAGTCAAAACGACATTAGTAAAATTGAAACGACATTTAACATTTCTTTTTGATAAGAAGCCAATTTTATTATTAGGCAAATATAGCCAAGTTCAAGGGAAGGAGATAACCTTCATTACAATTAAGGTCAGTAGCTTTTGCAATGGCATTAGCCAAGCAGTTACCGGTACTTTTGACAAACGAGAAAATGCAGCATTGAAAAAGTGGTAAAACAGTAAGACAATCCTCAATAAAAATACCATAAGGAGCTGAAGTGGCCACAACTTCTTTAAGGGACTCCGTAATATGCAGACAATCGCTCTCAATAATGATTGACTGCCACCCAAGTTCAATCGCAAGACGCATTGCAAGAAGGGCTGCGTGAGCTAAGGTTAAGTTACGAAATTTTTTGTTAATTTTTTGTTAATAACACCTAGACAATATATAGTTTTCTACTACTACTAATTAAATTAAAGATAAAAAGCTCTCAAAAGTACGATTTGGTTGGGTTTGTATAGAAGACTTTGAATGAAAGATTTGCTATAATCTAAGTTAACGACACTTATGTAATTATAAATAATCTAGATTATGTTAATATACATTAATAGGGTAAATTACGGTCATCCTCTTAAGCTAAGGTTAAGTTACGAAAAAAATCCTTTCATGTTTGGGTAATTACAACCATCCCTCAATTATGAATCTTTTTATAGGTTCACCCTTACGATGTCAAAATTTAATGGAATCTTCTAAATTATGTGGAATATTCTCTAGTTTATACCCGTTTTAACTCATTTGAGCTATATATTTTGAAACAAGATGATCATAAGATGTGGCTCTTGGCTTGTAAATATCAGATTGTGTTGCATCAGAAACTACACTTTTGCACAAAACGAGTAAAAAATGGAGAAAATTCCACGTAATATAGAAGATTATGTCGAACTTAACAATAAAAAGAACGTGTAAGAAAATTCTTAGTCGATGTATGATTGTAAATATAATTAACCAAACAAAAAGGGTTTTTTAGTAATTTAGTATTACCTTGGGTAGCATATACGCACAAATTTCTATTTCTATCATGCGTCACGTGTATATTTATGACACCGTGGTCTAAATATATTCTACCCTTGTGATGGTAAAAAGAATATAAAAATATATATATAGATTATTTTTTCAAAAATAAAGAATTCCTATTTAAACATCGACATCACGTGAGCATGTACGATGAATGTATTACGGCAAAGTTATTTATGATGTAATAAAATATACAAAAATGAAACAAAACATCCAACAAGAGATTGTGACCCGAGTCGATGAAAGTATGGGTAAATTATGTAAACCGCTGAATTTAGGTTAAATAATGAAAAATATCCCTATCTATTCGTAATTATGAAAAACCCCATGGTGTTTGTTTCCGTCAGACACCAATTCTTTACGGTGTGACTTTTCCCAGATTTTTTTTTTATTCCAAGGAATAGACTTCACACAGTTCATATATTTTCTCACTTATTTAACAAAAGTTATAATAGATTGTACACATTTTCTGTTAAAAAACTCGATCAACAATTAATTGAAGAGAGATTTTGGTTATTACAGATATGTGAGGGTATTTTTCATTATTTAGTATAAATTTAGGGTGGTTTTCGTAAACAAATATGGTCCAAGTTAAAGGCCAAGTCAATTAGCAGCAGCTGTATGATGTGACGTGACGGTGAATATGTTTACTTATAAGTTAATTAGTAGACAAAGTCTAATACTAAATGTTCGTATATTATTGTACTACCCAACAATAAATAAATTTAATAATAATATATCGAATAGGGCCATGTAATCATCATTTCTTTTTCCAATTTACCTATCGAAATTCAAGACCGGCCTAACCCTATATCATGTTGTTTACAACATGTGATTATCAACTGTAAATACAGTTAAACCTCTATAAATTAATACAGTTGGGACTAGGAAAATTCTATTAATTTAGTGGACTACTAGATTGTCGAGTTAATAATTTAATACGTCTTTACCGAATCGGGACAAAGATAAACTATTATTTAATAGATGTTATTAATTTATCGAGGTTCTGCTGTAAATGAAGTTAAATAATCACCCAGTAAACACAAATGCATACAGATGTGTGGTGCGTGTGCACAAACCAGCAGTTAATAATCACTTCATGTAGCATCTAATCATTTCCCGAGATATTCTTTTAACGAGCTCACTCATCTATTTAAGGATCACTCATAGATCCTAGTATTTTGCAAAGATGCAAGAAACAAATAGTGTCTAATATGGGAGGTCTGTCTGTATGTCCTAAATTAGTAAAATGCTAAGAATGAAGCTCAATTGAGCACATATTTATAACTATCAGAACACACACACACACACACAAAAAACAGTTCATATTATTTGATTTAATTTAGACTCCAAAGTAACAATTTAAGTCATACATTATAAAATGTGTAACTTGAGCAATGACAAAGGGGGTCACAAGTCTAGACCCTTTTGAAAAAATCCTAGTATTTTATATAAAAAAAAACTTTATTATTACTATTATTAGTAATATTATTATTATTATTATTATTATTATTATTTATTTTTATTTTTTTTGTGGTTGTTGGCTAATAATTAGAGTTATCCATGTGATAATTTAAGTGTTCCTCGTTGAAATGAGAATTCTATGCTGGCTGCTGTGTGTGAGTGGTCCTTAATTCTCGACCAAAAACAAAAAAACAAAAAGGAAATGGTCCTTAGTCCTTATTTTGTTTGCATCCTTAACAACAAATTAAAATAAGTACCTTTCAAAATTACGCTTTCATTGCATTTGTATATATTGAAAATTATTGAATCAAAGATTACAAAATTAATCCTAGTAGTTAATGACTACTATTTACGTAATTATTATAAACTAATGTGGATCATGTTCAACGCGATCGAATTTTAACTATTTTGAACGAGTTTATTATACGTTCAACCTCAATAAAGCCCGATTGAATAAGAATTTTAAATATCTATTATTTGAGACATCTATCAACATTTATTTTATACAGAAAAATACTAATTCACAAAATTATTTTGGTGATGAATGAAAATTTGAACTTACATTCATCCATTGAAACTGTTTTTCAAGCTTATATTAAAACTTAAAAGTGATTTAAAGAATTCAAAAGTTTTATAATTACAAATATTTACGTTTTTCATTTATTATTCTCGCTTGTTTGCAAATTGATTAGAAAACAAAAGTTTCTTAAAGAACTCAATTTTATGTAATTTTACGAATATTTCTATATATGCATGAAAGTTTAAAAAAAAACACTAGTGTTATAAGTTCAATTAGAAGCTGATTTAGACGTGAAATCCGAAATATTATATGAGGCGGTTTGTGCATACCACTACAAAGTCCGATAGTACGTGAGTTTGAGCTTCTAATTGTGAAGTCCGATTGTATATTTGAGTTTGAACTCACCAAAGCTCGGCGCACATGACCTGATTGCCACCTATAGGTGCAAATCCTTACTAAATTTCAAGACCATCCTAACCCTACATTTGCATGGTGTGGAAAAATATACATCTATTTAAGGAACACTCATACATTATAGTATTTGCCAAGAGGCAAGAGAAATTTGTCTTATAATATGGGAGGATATCAAAGCTTTGGTATTATCATTCCTATCTTTCTCACTTCCTTCCACATCTTAACTCTAGTTAGTGCAACTCATCCACTAGACCCCCTCACTCCATTTGAGCTAACTCAAGTCCAAACCCTAGTCAAGAAATCACACAAAAATGTCACCTTTCACTATGTGGGCTTGGATGATCCACCCAAATCCGAGGTCCAATCATGCCTGTCGTCGCAAAATCGCCCCAACAATTTCCTAAATTGCCCTCGCAGGGCATTCGTTATCGCGCGTACAAACTCCAGAAGCCACGAAATTACGATCGACTTGTCGAAAAATTCGATTTTAAACGACAAAGTGTATAACGGAAATGGCTACCCCATGCTCAACAACGAGGAGCAAACGGAGGCGAGCGAGTTGCCACTTAAGTACCCGCCGTTTAAGGCCTCCATAGCGAAAAGAGGGCTTAATATAAGTGAAGTAATGTGTGAAGCCTTCACTATTGGATGGTACGGGGAGATGAACACGAAAAGAGTGGTTGCGATTATGTGCTATTATATCGATGGTACGGTGAACTTCTACATGAGGCCTATCGATGGTGTAATGGCAACCGTTGATCTTGATGAGATGAAGATCGTGGATTATCGTGACCGTTTGATTGTTCCG